CCTTCACTGTCGTTCAGTGGGTGACCACCTGGATTTGCAATGCCACGCGCATACAAGGATACGACGTTGATCTGTGATATACTCGTTAACACATCTGCTTCTATCAACAAAAGACAGGGAGTCCTTTCCTGTCTGCAGCGAGACTCACAAAGTTGATTGATTTGTCGATGGATTTAGTATGAGGTAATGTGAGATTACCTACACTTTTATAGCCACGTAAAGGCGCGCGTGTGTGTGGTTGTTTGCTCTACTTTAAACTTGCTTTTATAGAGCCCACTAAGATACGATGCCACAGTATCCACACTCAGAAACAGTATAATAACTCAAGTCGTTGCTGTATCTCCTTAGAGCTCAAAGCCGGGAAAGAAAACAAGTACCATATTTTAAACAAATATATTTAGCACTAAGCGGCCACGGGATCGAACCACGACCCATCGCGCTCGGGACAGACGCTCTATCTACTTAACCATGGACATACGATGAAAATAATGCTTGACATATTGAAATTCACATCACGCAAAACTATTGATTGGTTTGACTTTTACAATGACTCAACGTTTGCAAGATTACTGCATAGATCACAGTAATATTTTAGTTATATATTGTACATTAATTATTACATTTTCAAGCTTTTAAATATAAACAGTCGACTCTCTGGTGCAGGGTTTGGTCAATGTATTAATTAAACCTTATAAGGAATACCTTCAGATAAATATATAACACAGATAAGAATTTTGGTCCACAGAAGCCAATGCTTGTGATCAGGGACGACTTAATGCGTGTTGTTTTATCCTATTTGCGTGATCGTGTGTTCAATTGATTGCCTGCTCCAGGAACGACATGTACAGAGTGCTGTCATACAACACTCGATTCATGTCCAAATCGTGGTCTTTCAGTTCAGATGAAAAGCCTCAAAGTAGATCTTACAATTGAAATTGAAAGACTCTAACTGTGCTACTGTGGTGTAGCAAAACAGCTACAATACAAAAGGCAAAAGTAGCACAAGGATTATAAAACCGGCGTCAGTCTGATTCTACACCGTACGAAGTCCCCGCCATTTAAATATCCCAGTTTAATCTCAGGGAACGGGTACGAGGTAGTAAACTGCGAATTGACAGAGGAATAGTGTGTTCGATTGATTAATCGGAAATTTGTAAATTCAGTCACAGTCATCAATATCTATACTCAATGTGGTTACCCACAAGTATTTCCTCACAAATCATGTATAATAGCCGGCCAGGGTTTGACCATACATACATACACACACACACACACACACACACACACACACACACACACACACACATACATACATACATACATACATACATACACCATCATTGACATGAAAACACTATGGCGACCTTTGTTGTTGATCAATTCTGCTTATAAGCAGATGCAGTTCACAATTTGCATCTATTCATTTGACCATCTTTAACTATGTGCCCAGTGTATGGTTAACCGGAAAATGAACTCCACCGGCTTGCAGCCCACCTGTTCGAATTTCCATGATCATATTCATGCAGAGGAAAACGAAACAAGGTAAGTGGATCCTCTGTCCAGGGGCGTTCTTCATTACATGAAAAGTGAAAAGTGACATTTTGCCAGGGTTTCCAGCAATCGGTTGATTTTGAATACACAATGTCATTTTGAAAATGGTCAAATGTATCAAATGTTATAATTGGAATAACACTTTCTTAGGAAAGTACAGATTCTCGTACTTTTAGGGAATTGAGTGGAAGCCTCGGTGGCTGAGTGGGTTTTATCGCTGACTTTGTGTACTGGCGATTAGGTGCCTCACTCTGCCAGTGTGGGTTTGAATCCCGGACGGGACTCAACCCCAAAACAGTACGAGAGTTTTATCCCAATTATAAGATTTGTTGCAATCGGTTAATTAATTTTGTTATTGAGTGAAATTTAACAAAGGGACGGGTTATCAATTATATAAACGTGATTACTAGAGAATAACAAGTCTTGATTCTATTGGGCGTAAAATTGTTCACTTACCAACAGTGGTGACAGTTGATGTTCTCGCAAAAGGTGAACACGCCCTGCCCTGCCGGTGACATTCCGCCACTTACACACTTTGCAGAATAAATATGTGTCTGTTACTAGAAATCAACATAGATATGTCTGGTTATTACTCATCGTTTGTTCCATGACCTAAGAGTAGCCTGACACACGGGAACGTAGACTTCCAGGATGTATTCATCGCCATTCAAATAGTAACAGATAAGTTACTTCGGACTTCTGTATTTAGGTTTGCTATAATAATGCCTCGACAAACGCCGTCAAAGTTATACATTGAAAACTTGAATATAATTATATATTTCTTACAGATACCCCCAATACATGGGCATTTACCAAAAAAAGAAGCCCAAAAATTATCACTTGGTTTTGTTTTAAACGAAAACATACACGAGAGAAATGATTTCAATGTCGCTGTATTCGAACATTCGCTGCATTCCCCGAATCATTTTGTTTGTTTGTTGTTTAACGCCACACGCAATATTCCCGCTTTATGGCGGCGGTCTGTAAAAAATCAAGTCTGGACCAGACAATCCAGTGATTGACATCATGAAAACTCGAATCGTATGCATCATAAGGATATTAGAAGATTGATGATCAGCTCTGAGAAGAAACACCTTTCTCGTTGGACGCCAAAGTCGTTGTCTCGCTTATTGCTGTTCCAGTTTTAACAGATTTTCTCTGAATCACACTGTCAACTCGATCCTCCATATGTGCCAATGTTCTCTGTAAAAAAAACAGGGCAGTTAATATATAATGGCACATTCAAAAACTATTAACACTAAGTCGAGTTTAAGGTGGTATGCTCATTGTTTTGTGTGAGGTAATTGTTCAGTTATTTCACTGGTCGTTTGTAAATAGTACCAAACAACTCGGATGAAGTAAACACTAGCTCCGGTCTGATATGTTCAAAGTAGACAAAATAGAAGTAAAACAGGATAGATCATTCCATATATTAAATTGAAACCAACTTAAAAAAATAAATACTTTTAATTGCTTTTATCTAAAACGGGAAGTTGTGGTTTCATTTGATGAACAATATAGAATACCATATTTGGGGCACGATCATATTCCCTCTTCATCAACATGAATGAAATGTAGTGGGGGGAAAAAACAACACTAAACGTGGAATAACCATATAAAATATATACCTCATGACTGCGGACTACCAGCGACCTGTGCGTTCGACAATGAGTTGTTTGTTCAGTCCAGAATCGTATGGCCTGGTTACTGCGGTTGCTCGCAGTCTCCAAATCTTTAGACAAGTGTCAGTATGATGTGCCTTCGCATCGTACCTAAGTGACAACTACAGAATGGTATCTCACGCGACGATGCACGTTGCCATATAAGCACAATGATCTTGAACACGACGTAAAACCCCATTTGACCTCACCCATCTGTTTCATATTGAAATATATGCTTAAAGATGCTGACTGACAAAATTTATTCACAAACATTATTACAGCAGCTCCAGACTTTAAACACGTTTCATGGAAGGCATGTGGAGGACTTTCAAAATATTAACGCACCACCGACATAATTCTGATGTACATGTCATTTATAAGGCTATTTATATACTTATGAGAATCAGAACACAATTAGAAAGTTAATTTTTAAATATTCAAAAAAGATAGGTTATACTACGTCAACTACCTGCATAAAAGAAATTGTGAAATACATTACGGTTGACATTATTTCGCCCGATATGAAAGGGGAAATCAGGTTTACAATGTTTGTGATAACTGTTTCATGTAGTTTATCCTAATACTTTGGTCATTGACCTCAAAGTAACCGGACGTATGGTAACACCAGCGACCAGGATGTAAACATCGCCGTTGAAACTGTAGCAGGTGCGTAACTTGAATCACAGCATACGGTCTCTACTGAACTGCGGTAAGTAAGAAATATATGGCGAGGATCAAAACAAACAAAGTATCAATTGAATTTTAGCAGTTAACTATTTAACTTATATATGAAGCATGTAATATCCAGCATAAAGTGTTTTTTGTAGCCTAAACTATAAATCATTTGCTATGTGTAACTGGTGTATTCAATTAACAATTCCAGCATGTTCTAGTTAGTGAATGGGTGGATCTTGATATAATGTTTTATTTAGACCAGAATACAATGTTTCTATGTTTTCAGTATGCACTGATGTATGTATACATGTATGTATGTATGTATGTAAGTATGTATGGATGGATGGATGGATGGATGTGTATTATGTTATTACCAATTGTCCAAAAGAAACCATAAAACTATTTCTTGAAATATTTTTGTCATAAATGTTTTATTTCATATGAAAACTTATTTAAACATATTTCACGTACCAAGCGGAATGTAATCGGTTGGAAAAAGCGGGAAAATTTGACAATTTATGTGAAAACTTTGCAAAAACGATGTCAGTTGCCGAAGAACGAACTGTACGTGCAGATCTATTGTATGAAACTGCTGACCCGACACGTTAGGAGCACAACACCAAAACAAAGAAATATCACATTGAACTGCGATAGGGAGGAAGAGAATCGTTGGAATGACCCAACTACGAGCGACACTCGCCGTCATTGTCAAAACGTCTGGATGCGTCCATATAACCGTTACCAGGTTGATGCAACGGTTCCGTCGGAGAAGTTGAAGACCACTGATGACCACTCCCTATCAAGACAATTCATCTTCGAAACCGCTTCGTCACGGCGACGTGATGGTTATTCTGGGTAACACGAATGCACAGCGATATCGAGATGAAGTTTTGCCACCAGTTGTTGAGCCATTCATCCAGCAACAGCCTCTTGGAATCATTTTCCAGCACGACATTGTAATGCCGCATACAGCATACTCGATTTTTTACAGACCGCCTTCATATACCTTCAATATTGCTCAGTGTGGCGTTAAACAACAGACAAACAAATGTAACATCATGTCAGTTGATAAACTACGAATAGCTTATGACGTTCTATTTAAAGGTTTCCATGATGACAAACACCAAACCATACGGATTTGCTGTTCTGATTCTTCTGGTAGAATCACTATGTGGTAAGTCTTTTGATCATTTTTTTACATTGCTTGGCCTTAATTCAAAGTATGTATTGCGAAGAGCTCAGCACCGGTATGACATAAAGTTTGTGAGTAGAATTCACACCTGGGTAAAAAGGTTAAAATACGTACCACTTCAAATCAATGGATTGCGATTTGCCAAAAAGTAGAAAAATCGTGGTTCCCAGGCAGAGAAAGATGACGATGGTTGGGTAGCCTGATTGCTACTGCTATCACTCATCAAGAAGATAGCCCGGGTTCACTTCACGATATTGACACAATAAATGAACACCTTTTCTGGGTCCCTCCCCATCCGAGGTATGTTGCTTAAAGGGAACAAATCACGTATGTACAAATCAGTAGTCACGTATGTACTCTCGAAACGATGTTGGAACCAAATGATCTAGATTATTTTTATCATCATTATTCCTTCTGATGATCATTAACTTATCATACTTAATGTTCCAGTTTCCCCCGGTCTCATCTGTCCAGAAATCAGTTACCTTGCCGGTCCTGCCCAGCTGATCTGCACTGGCGGGACACTTGTACACACATATTACAACACGGGTGGTAAGGTGGCTACGTGTGGATTGACCCTTAATTCATCGTGTGATTCCACTGACATGTCGGCGTATAGACTCAGCTCAAATCAGACGGCACTAAACATAACAAGTGTACGGATATCAGATGCGGGAACATGGGTCTGCAAGAATGCACGCAATTCAAACACCTCATGCCATCTGACTATTGCAAGTAGGTAGTATCAAAGTCAATATCATGTTAATGGTTGTGCGTAAAATCACACGCGAAGCATGTTTCACAACACATATGTAATAGGAACAAGGGTTTCATAACATACCTACAACGTCTCAACAAAGTATTACGCAGAACTGAAATGTTGATGTGAGGTTCAATCTTTCTTACGACATTCCCCGTGAATTTATTTTCTCGAGGTCAGTTATTACCTACTTGTAGAAGGTCACATCCTGATATGTCAACCAACCCCTCCACAGCAGCAACGTATTCCTAGTCCTCACTGAATACTAGTATCTGTCCATTCAAGAGTTATTTTCAAAAGTAAAAACAGGTTGCAGTGACTAGGGGTTGTAGTACTGGTATCTGAAACATAATGTTGTATGTATTATCAGACAGGGGCAGAAACTCATTGATAGTCATGTGCTTACATATTAGTGATACGTCATGCCTACACTCTGTGTTACAGATATCCCCACCTACAGCATAACCAGTGACAGGGCTACAGACGCCGTGGATGTGTATGGTAGGGTATCCCTCACAGTGGACATCCGGGGCTTCTACTGTTCTGCAGCTCACAACTTGACGCTGCAGGTCGGGAGTGTCACACTGCCACTAAACATGTACTTACCCGAGACTGTGACCGAACCAACAAACATAAACTTCACCATCTCCATTAATGTGACAGAATCACACTTTGGGGATGCAGAACTGATCTTTCTATGTAACGGCCAGCAGTTGAATGTTAGTCATCGAAGTGTTACACAACTACAACAAAGTACTTCGACCACGGTTTCAGGTAGGTTTATATCATTGCATGGCTCCTGTCCACCCGACCATACACCCGACAGTCTGTCATAAATTTGAAATGGTTCTTATCATCCACAATTTATTTTGGAGAAACATCTCAGAACAAAATAGTTCAGCACAACGTTACGGTTCACTTACTCGCAGAATATCAAATGATTCGTCTCCAAGTAATCCTAACTATAAACTTTCAGCTGAGTAGATGTATCTATTTAAATTAGTACATTGTGGAGCTTCTTGAGAACATCGCAACATGTAACACAAGGGCAAAGCCATCAACGCCACCCGCAATGGTAAACGCTTGTCGTGAATACATATATGGAACTTGTTGCCATTGAAACTCGAAACAATATTTGATTAACAAATCCCAAACGGGGCCTAGTGTGGTGAAGAAATAATGCTCGGTTTTCGAGATCTGCTCATGAAGCGACCACGACCCCCATTTTCAGTGTAAGTCAAAGTCATAGGAACTTGAACAAATACTTGTAAAAGCTACCAAACTTTCAAAAGTCACCGGTTCATCGCCAGGGCTATCTATGTACCAAGTTTGTGAAGAAATCTTGTTCATTTGTTCAAGATCTGGTACGGAAACAACATATTACACAGACAGACGGACTGACGCGTTGCGGGGATAATAATCAAACGTAGTATTGTGTATGGATTATCCGAACATTTCGAGTGGTCAGCAGTAGACCAAGAATAATTCACACATGAAGAAATAATTGTAGGAAGATGATTTAATACTTAATTGAAGGTTTAAGTTTAAGTGTTGTGCAAAAATGCGTTGCCTTAATCTCACTGGATTGCCCTTAACATTGAAATCACGTTCAAAACAGCTCTTTTCTGATGGGAATACTGATAATTTGGCTAAAAATATACAATGTAAAACGATTATCGGTAGTGAAAATAGATAAATAATGTAATACTACGCTTACAGAGATAGAATTTGTGGATTTGTGTTGCAATAAAGCACTGAAGATTTCACTGATTTCGTATTGGTGTCGACAGGTTTCGGTGCAGTGGTCACGGCGGTCTGGTGATATGGCTGGAATATTATATAAATATAAGAAATATAAGAAAATATAATTATGACCATGTTTACTCCATGTGATATGTTTTCGTTATTTGGTTGGTTGGTTTGTTGTTTAACGCTGCACTCAGCAATATTCCAGCTATATGACGGCGGTCTGTAAACAATCAAGTCTGGACCAGACAATCCAGTGATTAATATCCTGATCATCGATCCAAGCAATTGGGATCGATGCATGCATCAACTAAGTCAGCGAGCATATACTATGACAGTGTGTTTACTTAATAAAAAGACCATTGGAGATCCGGGATAGAATAGGTCTTCAGCAACCCATTCTTGTCGTAAAAGGCGACTATGCTGGTCGTAAGAGGCGACTTAGGGGATCGGGTGGTCAGGCTCGCTGATTTGGTTGATGCATGTCATGATGCGCATGATGCCAATCACTGGATTGTCTGGTCCAGACAGACCGCCGTCTTATAGCTGGAATATCGCAGAGGCCTGCGTTAAATAACACATATAAATAAATGAATGATTGAAATGAACGTGTCGAACTAACACGTACACTACCCTGATATCAATTTATTCATAATACGTACAACATTATGTTTCAGATACCAGTACTACTACCACTATCGCTGACACTACTGAAGAATTGATTCACATACTAATTGCACTAGGTGTCTGCGATATTGTGATCATCGCCTTCGTTGTCTTGCGTTGCTGGCGCAACAGACATAATTTAAGTACAGTTAATTCGATAAACCAGGTTGATGACTCTCTTCACATACAAAGTTCATCTTCCACCGACATGAACATGACTGATCCGGGTACAGTGACAAGAGGAGCGACCCGTGAAGCTCCAGGGTAGAATAGGTCTTCAGCAACCCATGCTTGTCGTAAGAGGCGACTAACGGGATCGGGTGGTCAGGCTCGCTGACTTGGTTGATTTATGTCATGCGTGGATCGATGCTACTGATGTCAATCACTGGATTGTTTGGTCCAGATTCGATTATTTACAGACCGCCGTCATTTAGATCGAATAATGCTGAGTGCGGCGTTAAACAACAAGCATTCAAACAAATCAAAGAGCCCATATAACGGCGTTATTTTGTTTTCTGTCTGCGTCTTTATACATTTGATACTATTTAAGTCGCTGCGGGTATTTATTGCACTTTTGTAATCGTTTTATGAAGACTTGTGTTGAATGGTAATGTAGTGAAACATGCGAACATGTACATTGTTTTCATGTTTCAAAGTTTTCAAAGTTCATTTCATCTGTTGTTTAAGGTTTTTAGTTTCTTATTTTTGTAGACGCCCTAGTTTGGGGCATGTACATGTTATAAATCTTGTTACACGTGTAAGTGGGGTATGGTTTATATGTTCCATGGAAACATATAAAGAAATGATTGTTTTGTTCGTTCTTTTGAATTGCTTTCATATTTTGCTTTTTTTTAATATTCATTTTGTTGTTTAAATGTTAGAGGATCCTGCACATTATTTGTAAATTACGTCGCCGCTTTAAACAAATGTATTTTTATTGTTCAGATTGTTTGTGTCTTTTTGTGGTTTTTTTAATTTGGTACAGGGGACACGATCTCTTTACGCTTTGTATTTGCCATTCTTGATGAAGATGTTACAGCTTAGTATAACATGGGGAAAAAGTGTGTGTAAACTTGCTTGCGGCTTTCCTCTCCTGCTTGTTAAGATTTACCTATGTTGAGAATGGGCATCAAGCCATCTATTTCCCGTCATTTACGGTACCTGTTCATGAATTTTAAATCAAAATCAAGAAAATATGACACATCCGGAAATAAGAAACCATATATTTCTGTTGCACATATTTTTGCTATTTGTACTGATATGCAGTTGCAATAAAGCTTCCTTTGCTTTGATTTTGTTAAATCATTTATGACAAATCAATTTCAGAAGGTCTTCTATTTCATGAGAAAAGACGGTGTCTTTGAATAAGCATGTATTCTTACATGATTTTATTGGCTAACTACGTTGTGTACATTTGTAGTATCCGGGATACTACACAGGAAGATGGAAAGTAGTGTTTGTTTGTTTGTTGTTTAACGCCGCATTCAGCAATGTTCCAGCTATATGACGGTGGTCCACTAATATTCGAGTTTGAACCAGATAATCAAGTGATTAACAACATAAACATAGATCCACGCATTTGGGATACCATGACAGGCATCAACCAAGTCAGCCAGCCTGACCACCCGATCCCGTTAGTATCCTCTTACGACAAGCATAGTCGCCTTTTACGGCAAGCATGGGTTGCAGAAGACCTATTCTATCCCGGATCTTCACGGGTCGAAACAGCACCGTCAATGTAAACATAGTTTGAAAGCACTATGTTTCTCCATCACCCGGGTCTGGGTACTGTTGTCTGCACAGTATTGTCAGGTAATGGAACGAGCCCTTCTCCGGGCATGGACTTTATGCGAACCCTACCGTGGACTGATGTGGATGCAATGTGCGGAGCAGATAACAGATTTGAAGTACTGACGATGCTTTTTACACCACGTTCTTTAAAGCCGCACTCATCCATATAAAGGCTATATGACGGCGGTCTGTAAATAATCGATTCTGGACCAGACAATCCAGTGATTGACATCATGAGCATCGATCCACGCAGTTGGTCCGAGTTGCGTGTTCACACGATGCAATGTGTTGCATACAACAAATTAAATACAACTGGTTGTACCGTGTGAATGCCCATTTAGGCCTCATTTAAAAAAAAAAAAAACGTTGAGTAAGCGGCACCAACACTTGAATGCAGTATTCACTCAAGAATGTTAATCCGACGTGCACATTTGAATGGCAATACAAATGGCCATAGAGACGTTTGCTGTCGTTTTATGGTTAGTCCCCGGCCTGTTGTTGAATAGAAGGACATGCATTCGTTGTACACGCACATTTCATATGCAAGCTGTAGAGCAAGTGGAACAGCGAGAGAGACATAGGTTTGGACAGCGGTAAGTTTCTACAGTGATAGATGCGAATCAACTGAATTAGTTTAGATAAGTGTCGATGGTCAAATTTTATCCGAAGCTGTAAGTTGTGTAGGGAGGGTTGGGTGTGAAACTTGGGACAGCAACTAATGAATCTTACATTACATATTGCTGTTTAGATACACTTTTCGGATTACAACCCTCTCTGAGGACCAGTTGGTATATAAACTATTTGGAATATGTTTTGTTGTGTATGTTGGTTTCAATGTGCACTGGTTCAGTCTTTCGTCATTTTAGTTTTCAAGTCTTTCGTCATTTTAGTTTTCAATTAAATTCATGTCTTTTTTACCAACTGAGCCGGTTAAGTGCCATCCCGATGACCATACAGCATAACAATATCCTAGTCATGGTAGTTTATATATGCATTTCGATTTTGTATTATTCTTTGCAACATGTTAACAGTTCCTTGATTCTGATAAAGCCATGAATGTTTGTTTTCAGTGGATGATTGCGATGATGACAAATGAAAGCAGTGGACAGATTTTGCTTCTGTTAACATGTCTCCTATCTGGTAAGTTGTATTGTTGACAAAATGACAAACATTCACCAATGGCATGATGTTCAGAATTTTATAGTAATTTGATTTGCCTTTTTTTAGGCGAATGTACGTGCATGTGTAAGACCCATTCTAGTGAACAAAACGAAGACATGAACACCCAAACTATATCCGGGCCTAGACTGACAGTTACAGTATATAGCAATCTTTGAATTTACCTCAGTATCTGTTGACACAATTTTATAATCACCTTTCAATGATAGGCTATTTGATCTTTGGCAACTAATTCGTCATATGGCTGGAATATTGCTAAGTGCGCCGTTAAACAACAAACAAACAAAAACTCTGGTTTTCAGGGATCCTTTCAAATACATACAAACAATGTTTTGTATTTTACGGCCTATGGGTCGGAATTTGGTTCAGCCGATATTCCAGACTGATTTTTCCACAACTTTGAAGCTTCTAAAGTATACTCACCAACGCCTTGTTAAATCAATTAAAATGATATAAAAATAACAATTTTCATTCACACACATTTATTTCTTCACAGTTTCCACTGAACTCATCTGCCCTGACACCGGTTTCATTGACTCTTCAGCACAGTTGTACTGCTCCGGGGAAACTATATCACACGAATACATCAACCCAAGCGGTCGGACTGTTGCCCAAAGGCTACTGACTGGTGAAGGGTGTGACGCAGATCCTTCCATGTGTATATCTGTCCTTAACGCCACTCACACTACACTCATCATAGGACGTGTACAGTTATCCGATGCGGGAACATGGAAATGCGTTACTGGATCCGGAGAGGCGACTTGCCACCTGTCAGTTGCAAGTAGGTATTTCGTACATTTTGGGATTATTACCTGTCCGAACAACCACCAACACTGTATATTGTGTTCTGTTCGAGAGGTTTCATTGGTAGATTTCGCAAGAGATATAAGAGTGCTATAACAAAGTAAACCAGAAACGGAGTGTGTAGGATATGCACGCTGAATGTTAAGTCACAGTTATGACATTTTATTTAAGACGACCCTCTCACGAAGCGACATGGACATAATGTTTTTGATATAATATTAGTCTCTGGTGACTTCTTGTGTCTGTGCCTTTTTGTAAAAAAAACCCACTCTTTAGCCCCTTTAAACAAAAGCAAGTTACTGGTGTTGCAAAAAGGATGCCGTTAAATATGTATCAGAATAGTATTCAATTTAATAACAGGTATACCAGCACGCCAAATAACAAGTCCACCGGACACTAGTTCCCTGCGCATTGGCGAGGATTTGTTACTGAACATTTCAATTTCAAGATATTACTGCTCTGATACCGCCCAGCTTCGGTTAATGATGGGGAAGAATGATATAACACTCCTCAATGAAACCGTTAATGAAACTACAAAGGAATATTTTGTCGTCAAACAACGTATGACAGCTTCACATTTCGGGATTGTGAAGGTATTCTTCGAATGTGGAAACTTTCGTCAGGCACTTTTGTGTGAGGGTGTTCAACTACTAAGTCTTGAGTACGGTACGTGGTGCATATGTACGATAACCATTTATGTTAAACATATTAGGTTATTAAAACCAGCATATTTATAGTTTTTTTCATGTTAGGAACCAACCATTTGATATTCCGAGAAGGGTTGGGGCGGGGCTAGGATTTTGTATCGAGATTAATTTTATTTCAGTTACAGCTACAAATGGTCAGTCCCTGAAGACTGAATAATTGACGGATGTTATAATATCTTAGGCAATGGGAAGAACATTCAACCAGTTACAGACAGATCATTTCCATATTGTTGATCTCTCTGTCCAAGACGAAAGCTTGTGACATTGTGGTAGGAATATATAATAAATAATGTAATTGTTGATTCCAACATGCCCCCAGATATCTTTTACATTTAACGCATTATACCAGGTTATGTTTCAGATACGAATAGTATGCTGTCATTCTGCATGTACATGTAATAACTTTAGATTTGTTTCAAACATAGAAAACAATGTCACAATATCTGCATACTTTTTCAAAACCAATTAAAGCATCCTTTCTAATACCTAATGTAAGTCAATGATAAAATGATATTACTCTTTTAGATGACAGTTGTCGCTGTGACGAATCGGGCTCCACAGTTGCAATGGGCATGGGGATCGTAATCATCGTTATGATCGTTATCATCGTCCTCCTATTAGTCAAGAATCTCAGAACCAAAAACGCTGGATGGAAGGTAGAAATAAATAAACACTGAACCAATCTCGTAACACAACTAAAGTTGTGATTCGTACATTGCATCAATCGTGGTTGTTTCACGTGGAACTAAATTTGTAAATATTTGTCATACGGATTTATGAAGGAGCCAATACCTAAGCCAATGCTTTTGATCGAGATCAAATTCCCTTATTGGTCTATTTGAGAATGCCAGGTATAATATGTCTGATTAATGTTGATAATATCTGATAATATCGAGTCGCCAGTGTCATGCCGACCTTGGGTTTGGATCCCATTGCTTTCAAACTGCCAAATGTAAATTATTGGGAATTTAAATGCCATACGATGGATCAATTTTAATATCGAATTACACAATATAAATTCTCTTTTCAGGGGTGCAGCGTCTTACAAGTTTCTTCTTTTGCCAGTGCTTTTGATATATGTTTTGCTGTCAGCAAATGCCTCATCTGCATTTTTGTTCTCATTATAGATGTGCAGCATAACTAGGAGTCTTCCTTGGTTCAAACGGAATCACAGCAATCAGGTAAACATTTGTGATACGAGTAAATGCGGAATGCCATACCTTAGCGAATGCTTGTGACCGATAAAGGTGTAAAGTATATCAAATTCTTACCAAGCTATGTTGGCATCCTTGGTAATACAATAGCCCATGCTGCAGCAAACGCTTCACTCAACCAATCTGTGACACCACTTCTTTTGCCATACAATGATTATAAGTCTGTTAGTAGAAGTTATATCCGAGATCAAATGCAAACCCCGTATGATGCATCATTTTTTATATTGAATTTATACAAAATCAATTCTCTTTCCAGGTTCCAAAACACATGGAGGCTGACGATTTACAAATACAGGTAATTCTTATAGATTCATTCCTCCGTCCGTGCACTTAATAACTATTTGGCTATCTTAGCTACTCCTACTATTCTTTGAGTTGTGATTGTGTGGTCTTGAGTGTTCAGTTGCATTTGTCTATTGACTGGTTAGTACTTCCGAGACATGTGTTTGCTTAATAACAATGCATGCACATACGTTTATTGCCGGTAAATTCAGGAATCCCTATGTTTTAAGAACATCAGAATATGGAAACATATCTAGTTAAAACCTTATTTATATCAAGTGTATTCTCTGAATTCCAAATCAGTGTTTCGCTTGGATGTAATTGCAAATACCAGGTTCGATATTTTTCATGGGTATCGATAATGTTTCGCAGGTGTTGTCTTGATCGTCATGGCAAGCAATGCCCTAACTAATTCGCACAACATAAATAATATTAGTACGTATTAGTCTTGCTTGTTGGAAGAAAAACTATGAGGTAAACATTCGTGATAAATGTATAGGCTAAAGGTCACACCTCTGCAACTGCTCGTGAACGAGATGAGCACATTGTGACCCAGCAGTATATCTTGTTTGCATCCCCAAAAAAGGAAGACACATTCTTTGGTATATATTTCGCCACCGTCTTACTTTCTTGCCACGTATAAAATACTTGAAAGCAAATTGTCTGAGGGTAGTGTGATTCTTATAATTTGTTTCTAATTCATAGTAGGTAGGATATCAGTCAACCCCACATATCCACGTTTCCTCTCCAAACTTAGCAATGGCTCCATCATTTATTGTGGGGCTTGCAAAAGCAACCTTCAAATACCCAATTGAATCCTTTATCAAGGTCTTAGACTCTCTTGGCTCTTCCAGAACGGTGATCCTGATAAGACATATCTTAAACAACACAACCCTGCTTACAGCTTTGTGTTTAGTCACCCTCATGGAAATCTTCACAATAAGATGTCATCTCTTATTCCACCTCTTGGAAAAACTAATTTAACCTGTTTTTCTTGAACATATATAAACGCTACACCTTCTGTCTTCTCTGCCTTGGCAATTGGTTAAGTCAAAGAAAGACCTGGCATTGATCAAAATGAATATACCAGAAACAACCCCATACATCATCAACACTAATATATCAATTTACGAAGCACATACGTGTCGTATGAGGCGACTAGCGGGATCGGTCGGTCAGACTTCACTGAAGTTTTGAAATTCTATTTACTTGGATTAAGCTTTTGACTGTATAGCTCAGATAAAGGAAACTTGCTTATGTCTCAGTATACATGTATGTATTAAAGACAATACTTCATTATTACTTATGTCTCGCGAGGATGCACAATATACCATAAAATAGAAACGAAAAATATTAATTCCACAATAGCAAGAAATATATCCAGAACTATTTTCTGATATTTCACTGGTTGTGACTAGTATCTGGTGCTGAAATTGACCATTTGTTACATTTGTTTCAATACTTTGGGCCTAAGACGTTATGCATCAAAACCTTTCGAAAAATCCGGGGAAGTTTATCAAGTGTAGAAGGTTTAAAGGGGCACTGATCTAACGCAATTCCCCGGGACTGGTTGTTGCCTTTGTTATTGTTTTTTCCCAGTGAGTACCAGGATGTATAGCAGAAATCTAGACTAGTTCGCGACCTCTGCTGCGCCATTCGTAAGCGCATTAGTCACTTGTATGGGTAGTAATATTGAGGGCGTATGGTCACATTGATCAACAAAATGAAATACAGTTTTGGAGATAATGAGGAAATGTAGGTATCTTTGTGGTTAGCATCGGTAATGGTGGCGAAGTTTTGATAAGTCACTTGCTTGGTAATTTTGCGATTTTCGTTTACACCATTTTGACTTGCAACACAAAGTAAATATTTCAACTGAGCATTGCTTTTTGATAGTGTGTATATCTTTTACTGTCAAAATGTGTAACATTTTCAAATTTATTCAACGCCTAAATATTCAGTTAATTAACAAAGTGACTGAAAAACATTTCCATCTGTATCATTATGATAACGAATTCAAAACATTTTGATGTTTAATGTCATCACCAAGAGACTGAAAATGTTACGTTGAAAAGTACATTTCTATGTTGTTTGGCTTCTAATCCTACATAATAATCTGTTGTGATGTTTGTAGGCCCTTTTGATCGCCTTAATCAATCTGGACAAAATGACTGAAATATTTACACATTTCATAAATTGCCTGAGATAATTACATTTTACAAATTGACGGTAATATATACACGTTTACAAGGGAAAATGCCTGTGAAAACAACGTCTATTGCGCACTGAAGAATTTCCCAACCAAGACGTAGAGAAACAAGGACGAATCGGTTCAATGCTACAGCAAATGAAGGAAAACAAAATGCAAATACCATAATTACAACCTACCAAATTTTTGTGTATATATTTTAGGCAGCTTCCTTGTTCGAGGAATGTATCCGTGAATATCCACACAAAGGAACAATATCCCATTCGTCTGCAGCTGTACAAAGAAACCTTTTCGATGTCACGTGTCTCTGTAACAATCACATATTTTAAAAGATATATATCGTTTCGGGATATTATAACTCGTGTTCGTTTCTCAACTGATCACATGGATTGTTTCAGGTGTTTCACATAGGTGTGAAGTCTCAAGGGTCAGCTGAGAAAGCCCACGTGACAACTATTTTCATAACGTCCACGGTTCCTAAAAAAAACATTGAGTGATAGATAACAATGATCAATCAATCAACGTATTATCAGTTCACCCTTTGAACAAAGTATGTTGTTTTTACATCGGCACTTCACACAAGGATGTGTGTGTATTCCCTTTGTTTTAGTAAACCTAGACATGTAAACACTCACTTTTGACATATCCACTGTGCAAGATAACAGTGATTAATCAATCAACGTATTTTCTGTTAATCCTTTGTTGACTAGCAACGATCTGTTGATTTACAAAAAAAAAAGTGCTGGTCTGCCACGTGCATATTACATAACACACATTTCACCTCACTTCAAACCTTTAGATTTAGATTGAATAACTACCCCAGACACAATAAATGCCAAATGGGAACCTTTGTCAGGTAATCTATGTGGTGCTACCACTAATTGTACCTGTTATAAATTCATTAACTGAGCATCAAGTGAATGACGACAAATACACAAGTGTAGGGTTATGCGAGAAAACGTGGATGACAACATGGGAGTAGTAATCGTATTATCGACGCAATCCGAAAACCGAAAATGCTTTCACTGCATGGATACTTTTTTTAGTGTTAACTATAACCATCTGGGGTATTTCCAAATGACGACATCCGATGAGCTCCGCCGTTCTTTTTGTCTGTTAGTTTAGGCTGAAGAAATTAATTAACATGCGCCCTTTGTTGAAATCTTTTTAGATCCCGGTTAACCAACCAGTGTTTATGCAAAAATGCGTAAAACAAATATTGCCTCCAGCCTCCAAGTTTATTTAGCTGTCCTTGCAGGCGGTAGCCCAGTCTCTGGTCACGCTCAGTTGCGTTGCGTATCATCCGGGTACTCACGGGGTAAAAAACAATAACAAAGGCAACAACCAGTCCGGGGAATTGTGTTAGATCAGTGCCCCTTTAAATAAGGAATATTCATCTACAATTGTTCAAAGCATTAGTTGTTAATGTTATAGTGACAAGCTGATAAAGGATAAGGCCTAAAGGGATTATACAGTTGTGACAAGCCTCATCATTAAATTAATAAGATATTTACAGATGAAAATATTTGGGAACAATACAAAACTCCTTACAATAATGCACATTTTAATATATTTGCGATCACTGTAAAACAAAACAATACACTGCCATATTACAATACGGTGACTGCATCAACCACGTCACCGAGCCTCACCACCCGATACTTTTAGTCGCCTCTTACGACAAGCCCTGGTTGGTGAAGATTAATTATTACCGGATAGTCATGGGTTGAAGTTAGTGATAAATGTGCCTATTAACGTTTAATGTATCCATGTCACTTAGCCGGGGGCACTCTAGATATGCTAGTATAGCATTGTGGCCGTCCATTATGAAGTTAGTATCTATTCACATCAATTTGTCATTAAATGTGTGGGAATCTGGATGATTTCTAAACAATTATTATTTATCTATAAAACATATCTCTAAATCTAGAAGGTGCAATCATGGAGTCACCTTCTTAAACATCAGAGTAGTCGTATGGATTCGATCCGCCAGAAATAGATTATGCTCACATTGATTCAAAAGCCCTGATCCGATGTGATTCAATTTCGTCAAGAGACCATTCACTACTTCATAGGCAAGATGTTTGGACGTCAATATTATAATCCATTGTGAGAGTATGAACAGAATTTGAAGTGTGCATAATATCATTTTCCTAAAGTGGATTACGTTTTTCCGAGAATGTATTGTCAAAATCTATTGAGCCCCATGTTAAAGAGCTATACCATTGATCAAAGTGTTTATTCAGTAAACCTAGATAAGAGCAGAGAAGACATGCATGTTATGCACTGAGCTCAAGCTGCGCTGTTGACTTTCTAATCTCTGTTTAATAATTCAGTGATAAAGGAACTAGAACGTGTTTATTAGAAAGGGTATGTTAAGAGTTTTGTTTTAGCGATGTTGTAATAAATGTCACCCGTATGTGAGCGCTGTTATATAAACACGAGGACATGTCCATGTTTATTCAATAATGAAAAAATACCCGTCTCATAATGAATCTACTCCTGAAGATGCGGGGTAGAATAAGTCTACAACAACCCATGCTTAACGTAAAAGGCGACTTTGCTTGTCGTAAGAGGAGACTAACGCGATCGGGTGATTCGGGTCGTTGACTTGGTTGATGCATGTCATCGTATCCCAATTGCCTGGCTCTATGCCCATGATGTCAATCACTGGACTTTCTTGTCCAGGCTCGATTATTCACAAAATGCCGCCATACAGCTGAAATATTGCTGAGTGCGGCGTTAAACAACACACACACAAACAAACAAACATAATGAATCCTCCCTTGTGTAAGGTTAATGCGTTCATCCTATGTTAATATCATAAGTCATATCAGCAAAATATGGCTGTTTTAATACTGGCGCCAATGCAACACGTATTTGTGACTGTGACCGATGCCATATCAAACCCAAAGCAATCCAAAGCAAATTTCTGTTCTGTTCTGACCGTCATTCAAACATAATATTAATATACATTTAATATTTCAAGTGTGAAAATTTGTCAATCTCAAGTTGATGCCTAGCGTCGTTTCTACAGATGAACTGGTTAATATTTAATTCATTGTTGAACATCATTCATTGTCATTATACATATGATGTGCTATATTCCAAGTTTTCACAGAGGGAGCGTTATTCGTTAGAGTGTCAAGTTGTACACTGCTCATACTGTTTATGCACCATCATGAGAAAATGTGTCCCTGAGCGTTTGCCACCTAATACACGAATACCTAATACGTGATTATTTAGCTCTATTCTACATACATCTGCGTTACAAGAGGAGAACAACTTGTGCCGAGCTTGTGTCGCTCAATCGATGTATACGAATATTTGTCACGCATGAAAGAAAACATCATTGCCATCGTACATGTATTCTAGAATTCCATTCTTTTAAGAAGGCCGTTACATAGAAACAAATCGAGGTCAGGGATTATGTAAGACATGTATTTCAGCGCATTCCAGATCAGTGTCCCTCTTGGATGTACTTGGAAATGCCTGGTATACTTTTTTTGTATAAAATCTACACAAGTATTGCAGAAACCGTCAGCAGCTTGACATATACCCACATTGAGATTGGATCAGCAACACTTACGTACATTATGGGGGACTTACAAGCTAGATGATGGTTCAATTGCAACATTAAATCTATGCAATAAATTTCTCTTTTCAGGTTCCCCCAAAACCAATGCCTGCTGAAGATCAAATACCAGAGGTACGTTTATACATTGCTTCTTCCGTATGTGCTTTGAATAGATATTTTGCTGTCAGCTAATGCCTCGTCTGCTTTTAATATTACTTGAGTTTCTACCTGATTGTGATTGTGTGGTCATAAGTATTTGGTTACTATATATTTGTGTATTCACATATTATAACTTTCCAGCATAATCTGGCATTCCTTTCTTTTAAGAAGGCCATAACATAGAAACAAATCGAGATCAAAGATTCTGTAAGACAAGTATTTCACTAGAATCTAAATCAGTGTCACTCATGGATGTACTTTGAAATGCCAGTTATAATAATTTTGATAACATGTTCACAAGTGTGACACAAACCGTCAGTCGCTTGACACCAACCTTTGGATATGATTCATTTGGTTTGAACAGCAATACTTAAATATAAATATGGGGAACTTACATTTACACAATGCATCAACTGCTATATCAAATTTATGCAATAAATGTCTCTTTTCAGGTTCCCCCAAAACCAATGTCTGCTGAAGATCAAATACCAGAGGTGAGCTTATACATTGCTTCTTTTGTATGTACTTTGAATAGAAATTATGTTCACTATTATTGGAGTTTCTATCTGATTGTGATTGTAGGCTCATACGCTTTTGGTTAAAAGTGATTAAAAAGTGAAAGTATTTCCCATGTTCTATGTGAGCTCGCAGGGCTCTGTATTTGTCATGTTTAGTTAATTCCAGTCCATCATCCATATTGTCATTAGCTGGTAAACTCTCCAGTGAAATATCAGTAAATATCAAAACACAGTCAGAGTCACAGTCAGAGTCCCACTTAAGCATTACGTTTGAAATTATGATGGTGACAGAGAGTGAATATCTACATAAAATGTTGACTAGGGGGTGGTGAGAGGCTCACTCAGTCAGTCAGCGTTAGCGAAACCACCACATGTGCTTCCCTTGTTAAATTATTGTATTTGCACATGCCCATCATCAGATTATCACACATTTTGTCAGTTAAACGTTGTTGTTTTTTTGTAATAACACGGACCGTTATAGTTCGGACGCTAGGGTATTCCGTAGGGTATTAAATAGTAACATATTTTGGGAGGAAACATAAAAGTAACAATACGGATATTTGTGGCAATGCGTTCCCAACATATTGAATAATGCATAGTGCACGGTTAAGAATCAGTGAGAGACGCTATTATATAACTAGATGATCCCGGAGCGGTTACGGTTACACTGACTGATCATCGAAATTAATTGGTTTTCCCTTTATTTCTGTTTTTCAATGCAAAGTCATCAACTCTAGATCACATTAAACTAAAGCAAACACAAACAACTTACTGCAACACTTCGATTGCCAAACAAGACACTGGCTTCACTCTGTCTAACGTTTGTCTAATTTGGTTCTCCGAATACAGCGTTCTTTGATTGCATGATCGCTCACGAATATCCTCGCTATGACCCATCCTAATGTACAGAACGAAGAAACGCAGATCTATTTGTAGTAACGACTCGATCCGTGTCTAGACCGACCGTGACAGTAAAGCAATCTTTTATATTACAAATGCCTTTCAATGATCGGCCAAACACATGTTATCGCCACAGGTTCATTAACAACTTCCGAAATCTCTCCCGTCACGTTTATCGTTGACGTCTTGTACTTGATGTAAATGTATTACGACGCACTGTCATAGAAACTGACGAACTGAGGTAGTTTTTTAACAGACAATTTACATTTGAGGATGATAATGTGTTGTAAACATACTACAAAAGATGTCACTGTAGAACAACGTGAGAATACATTCACTAATGTCACCTCTCCTGTTGATGAACTACCTCATTCCGCGATATTGATGGTAGTTGTATTGCTGCCAGAGTAAACAAAGTAATACAGTTGTTTATATATCTGCATGTATCGAGGTAAACAAATAGTTATCATTATACGAATTGACTTTCACTTTCTTCGATTTCTCTGGAGCAAACGTCTATCTAATTAGTCTAATCTTAACAAATGAAATAGTTTGCTTTGCACCTGTTTATCGTAATTGATACTGAGCTCCAATCACCCCGACATCCACAATTGACATCAAAGTGGACTATCATTTTTGCTCGACATATATAATAATTGATAACCTTATAAATATACACAGAGTTGTATGAAAATATATCCATACAAAAACGCCATAACCATACGCTTTAGTCAATTTCACAAACTCTTATATGTTTAACAATTCGAATCATATGTGATGTTTTTAAATAGTTATTATGATGTCTTAATTACTGTGCAACTTTAAGATAAAAAGCTCGCCTTTAATGCCAAGTCAAACCACAGGGACCACGAAACGGTTCTTACGACCTGTATGTATGCTCATACAATGAAACTATACCGTCAGTAGGATCACTATAAATAAGCTGTATACTGTACATTCAACGATTGGCATAAAAGCACCCGTATGTACATGCAGGTGTGGTTTTGAATAGGAGATCATTTTATTAACAGAAGGCGAATTTGCTTGAAACCTCCCTGATGAATGGACAAGGTTACGTCTTTAGTCATCTGAATGTAATAGTTGTTTCTCATCTGCTTTCCTGTAAAGCACAAACACAAGACCGAGACAGTTGACCCGGATCCTTCAGTGAATGTACCGTTGAGGTCGTATAATTTGTATGCGCTATTGGGTACATTGCTAAATGTTACGGAAAGGTTTTCAAAGCGTCAGTCGCCAAAGACACAAATACATGCCAGACCGATAACAACCAACCCATGTCAACACTGTTGAGACTCAGTCATGTAAGATTTTACTTTTGTTAAGCAAGAGTGTTAGACATGAGAATCAACACATTTTCTGTTTATCAAAGTGTTGTCTATTAGACAAATTGATCAGAAAATGCACTCACATGGACCATTTGAACTGAATACATTTCCCTTTCACCGACCGCAGTGCCCGTATTGTAGCTCAATGTCTTCGTAAACCTTGACAGACTGTAAAATGCATGTTGGGAATGTTGGCTAAGGAGAATGACCCTGGGTTTAATGCACCGTTTGGGGCATTATTATGGCGAAGAACAGGTTCATAATTCGCTTGTAAAAAACTATGTTTAGAAAGTGATACATATTTACATGTATGTGACATTCCCAGTCAGTATTGACCGTTATCCATTATTCAAAATTTTAGGCTTCAATATTTGAAAGTTTGAACAGGTGAAATTGTCATTCCAAGTCGGTACGAAGCGTCGTTTGTACAGGTGATATTTTTTATATTTGATATTTCTCAGTTTGGAGCGTTATTCGTGATAAAAATATACATAATGTGTTATATGCCAATTTTCCATAGATGAATTAGTCATTAGTAGTCGGTATGAAGCCTTATATGTCATAGAAAAATATGTAAATTTGAGTAATTATGGAGCAGATGAACTAACATTGCTTATACTCTTTTTGCAGCATCATGAAAAAACGTGGCCATGAGCGCATGCCGCATACATGAATACCTGCCACACTTTTTAGGAATATCTGTCCTGCACCAAAGACAACATTTATTAAGAGTACCAAACATTGTAGCCTTGCGTACATTCCTCAACTAACATATAGTCTGTATCTGTAATTTAACGCAGTAAATATGTCTGTAAAGATGTTTACACAGACGAAATATCTATACGATGTGTTGTTGCTTGGCTTTTCCATATAAACCTGATAACTATTTACACATATTTTGTTTCAGGAAATTCACAGAAAGACGTCCAGTTCCCATGAAAGTACTGTCTGATCATGTACAATGGAACCTGGCCATTACATGTATGTGTCTTTGCTTTCTGCAAAGGTACCATACATAATTTTGTAAATGCATGACACGTATTAGAACATTTCGATGTTAGGTTAAAATGTGTTTTTTTCTGTTGCCCTTGCCAAACATAAGTTAAACAAGAATGCATGTTACGAATAACCATTCACAAGACTGTATGGCAAGAGGGATGACTTCCACTTAGTCGAGCAATATTCCAGCAGCTCCAACCTGGTTTCGACATTTCACACACGTGTGATGTACAATTGCACATGCTCTTTCTATGAATACATTTCAAAGAGCCTAACCCACCAGAGACACCCGTCACAAGCACATGCAAAGGCAAAGGCAAGCCTTCGGCTCACCCGATAAAACAGTTGAACAAATGGTACAAGTCAAATTTAAGGAAGTGCATCAGGCGTAATATGTGTCCCTGCTTGTAAACGTCCCCTACATGTCTAACATTTTGAGAGCGTTGCTAAGTGAGGTGGTAAGTGTTGTTAACAACTCCTGAGCTAGAAGGCTGAGTGGGAAACTCGGCGGTGGGGTAGCCGCGTTGTTACAGCGGTCGCTCGACAGGTCGAATGCCTGGGTTCAATTCCCCACAAGAATGTGTGAATGCATGTGTGATGTATTGATGGAGTATGGATAACAGCGCCCTAACGTCAAACTGACTTGCACTTTTGCAAGATTCGTGTGACTCTCTTTGAAATCCTGGCTATAGAGCATGCAAAGATAACTATTGAGGAAATTCAACATACTGAAATATAATCCAGCATTTGTCCGAAAAGAACTGTCATGTGTTGTGTGATATCATTTAACTACTTCATGATCATAAACATATTTTGCTTGCATCGTCAAATCGAATTACAATTAGACATTAACTTCATGGTCCTTTGAATATTGTTTAATTTGTTTGATAGTTTACAAATGTGTTTATCTGAAACTGACATGTACATTTTGGAAGCCTTTCGGAGCCATCGTTGAACATGCTACACCAGGTAAATCTCCCGACTACACAAATATAGTAGTTGTGAATATGGATATATATATATCTATATCTGTTATTAAACATGTTTGAATTATTAGATTCTAAACTGTTCTAAATACGTATAGTCTAGTTACCAATTACGTTCGTTATATATGTATCTACTGCTAGTATAAAGACAGCGACGATGTTAGATGACTAATTATTAACAGAGATAATGATAAGGATATAAATCACAGTCTTGTATTGGCACTTTCCAAATAGTCATTATAGTCAAATGCTCGAAGTCTTGCCTTTGATAAAGGCATCCTTTTTTAAACTGTGTTTCTTTAAATGCATGTAATAGTTGTTTAGTAACAATCATACACATATGCTTCTTTCGCAGTATCTTTAGTCAACATATGATATTTATGCATTTATTAGCAATGGCAAATTTGTCAAAAGTATACTGAAGAACACCTGTTCATGTGACATTGAATAAGATTTGATGCAAAGTTATGTTTTTTACCAAATCTGAAACAATTTCAGGTTGCAACAGATACATGACTCCTGTAATTGTTGAAATGGTATAATTTGCCATACTGACTTGCGTGATTTCATAAAACAACATGAACATGCCAAAATGTCAGTTTACAAATCAAAAGCGTGTGTGCCCACCTCTAGTTGCGATGCAAGCAATACATCTTCGTCTCATGGAATGGACCAGGCGTCGCCCAAAGTCCTGTGGGATACCTGTCCACATCTGCTGGAGCATGTTTCGAAGTTCCTGGAGTGTCTGTGGATCACATGGTTTACGTCGAAGGCGCCGATCCCTCTCATCCCACATGTGCTCGATTTGTGAAAGATCAGGGGAGTAAGCCGGCCACGTTGTTTTGTTGAAGAAAATCCTGAAAAGTCGAGCAATATGAGGCCGGGCGTTGTCATGTTGAAAGGTGATGCCTAGGCCATGACGTCGCAAAACGGTAGAACAACAGCGCCGATTATCTCGTCGCGGTAGCGCTGCCCATTGAGATTTCCCTCTACCACTCTCAAACAGGTCCCCTGTCTTGCTGTAATCCATAACCGATCTTCTTCCATAGGAATGATGACGTAACGTTCACCCCGACGTCGGTACACTCGAATCCGTCCATCGCTGTGGCTGAGGTGAAAACGAGACTCAGTGAGACACTGAATAGAACTTGTCCCAACTGCATGGCCGTCCAGCGTAGACGCTTTCTGCATCACTGTAGACGTGCTTGATGGTGGTTTCCTGTCAAAATGGGACGTCTGGCGAGTCTTCTGGGTACAATCCCTGCACATCTAAGGCGACGACGTACGGTTTGTGAAGATATTCGTCGAAGGCGAGGGATGCTTCTTGCAGTCACTGTTCCTGGCTTGAATCGATTTCGTAGGTGTGTTGTTCGAATCCAGTTGTCTTGTCGATTATTGGTTATGCGTGGCCTGCCACTCCGAGGATGATCTCTGACTGCTTTCTTCTGTTGCCAACCTTGCCATAAACACCAACTGGTGTTTCTGTGGACGTTAAATTGTCTTTTATCATCACGTTGAACCGATCCTGCTTCAAGCATACCAATGGCTCACAGACGTTTGGACAGGCGTGGCATTTCGTAATGTTGAATGATTGCGTAATGTTGCTATTTTTCTGAGTGGTTGTTGTCAGCACGATGCTAAACAAGGCATATGGAATCCTGTTAACGCACATGTTTTATACCCATTCTTGGGTAGTGAAATGCACAGGGCTTGCATAAAAGTCAACTTTTGCATGGAATGCATGCTTTTTCTGTAGCAGTTGCGTTTTTGTGACTTAATTCCATACATAATATTGAAAACCAAACTTTACTTTACTTTAAAATATTGGTGTCACAGGAACTTTTGTTGTTGAGTATATTTAAAACGATACATGAAATATGTTAGTGATTGGGTGTGGTGATAAGTTACATACATTTTAATCATGAAATAAAGACATATCAAACACTAACCGATCTTCCTCCTATATATTAAATATGCTAACAGTCAAATTGATAACATAATTACAACATATTCCATGGCCAGTATAACTTGTTATGCTGGTCAGATAAAGTTATGCAAATGCATACACCTACTATCTGTTTTTAATACCATGAAATTACAGTACCAGGTATTCTTACACTCATGCATCCGTGACAAACAAGCAACTGGAAACTTAGTCTTATCCATACTGGACTTCAAACACAAACCCTTTTATAACAAATGCAATTGGTCAGGATAGGCTAAGTAACTAAAGTTCAAAATAACAATTCAATATTTCATCAGAACATGACACTATCTGTAACAGCAAGAATAGGTATACATATTGACGACAGTCAGTCACACATCACTCTGTGGCTGACTAACAAACTCATTTAACTTCACTCAGGTAAGCAACATAACCATGTGCTAATCATTCTGTCGATGCTTGCAAGTTTTTGTGTTTTTTTAAGCATGTCCTACCTTTGTGTATATTCTTAATATCCTTTTTGCAATGCTGTTGTGGGCAGATTTTGCAAACCCTATATAATTTTCTAGTGTTGCTTTACGTTTCAATATGTATCATGATGAACATTATATTTTTTTAGAGCCAACTCTGGTAATGTATCTAGAAAGATTGTGTCAAAGTATTATTTGCAATTACTATGCTCATATGCAATTTGTCGTGTTCAGATCATCTTCGTCATATGTATTAAATCAATCATTGTCAACCATTGTGTGTCATGTTTGAGATAGAAGTTCTTCATTTGTTTTACCCATAGAATATATTTACGGTTAATAGTTAACGTAAACATACTCGGTGGCTTATTCCCGACTATTCCCTGTGTCCAATTTCCTGGAGCGAATGACCACCCCCCCAACCCCCCCACCCCCCCCCACACAACTTTGCAGGATAAGAGAAAAAACATTTTCGATAACGAGTCAGGGAAGATTAGATACGACTATCACGATGCAAAATGAAAACATTGAGTGAGTGAGTGAGTGAGTCGCTCCTTTAGAAATATTCCCCGAATTTGGACAATGGGTGATTCGACCCTGTCCTTTAGTGTTGTGATCAAGTTCTTTAGCCACAATACACAACCGACAATACACAACAAGGAAGCTCAAATTCTTCGTTACATTCGGAACGTCCCACAAAATCTTAACAAGGCCTACTGAATGGGTCACTTGGTTATTATATTTCATTGCCGAATGCATTGTGAAGGAACGAGAAGGCGACAGCTAGTACACGCTGACCTAGATCCATACGCGCAGTGTCCGTGTGAGAGGCATCGCGCTCAATACAGATATGTGACAAGTGTAGCGCCGGGTACGTTGATAAAACGTAGGTGGTATGCACGTACGAGTTACTTCCCTTATTGAAACGGGTTGGCCACGTACAGTTTGTAAGTCTACCGCTGTCTTGTCAACCGCTCTATTGAAATAATGCTACCCGTGATGCATCAAAAGAACATTCTGTGAACATTTTGGTCAATAAGCATACCGATTTGGCTATGCACTGAGCTTTCATGCATTTTATCAGGATTCGTCACTTCTAATCCACGTGTTGCGTTAGCTATAGTAGCAATAGCAACATCAAGGTTATGAACTTAAAATGACATCTACACCACAAATTATTTATGTATCATACTTTTATACACTGTGAGTGAGTGAGTGAGTGAGGTTTTACGCCGCTTTTAGCAATATTCTAGCAATATCACGGCGGGGGACACAATAAATGGGCTTCACACATTGTACACATGTCGGGAATCAAACCCGGGTCTTCGTCGTGACGAGCTAACGCTTTAACCACTCGGCTACCCGTCCGCCTCTTATACACTGTGAAACAAAACAGGTCGTGCTTATATATGAATAGGAAATGTATCAATTCGACCACAGTGATACATTAATAATAATACTCAATTTGTATATCTGCAAACATTTCATTACACATTATGTGCAATCGCAGGATATATTTGACGTTTCACACACACACGTTCGATGAAGCACAAAAGCATAGATTAATGTATTGTGAATAAAACAAATCTTAAGAACACGTCCTCACTTTCCCCCGCTACGAGGCACTTTAGAACTGTGTTTGTTCATGTAGTAGTGAATATGTACTATAAACAAAACTACAACGCTTTAAATATCCATAGACACTTAGGCCGCTTTTTTTTATCAGATACGTTTATCAAATGTGAAATTAATTCATGCAAAAGACCCCTTCGCTGGATAAATAACTCAGTTTAAAAGCACGGAGCAAGGGCCTAACACTCAAAAAATGAGGGGGCACATTTTCCAATTTTCTTATTATCCAATCACGTGTGGTAGAGTATCACGGTTAAACGTCTTAAAGTGCTTTCATGACATCATCTGATGTTACATTTCGAGTCGGCTCCACACATACATGTAGGTATCTTGCAAAACTATTGATTGTTATAAATAGATACTTGAAACCTCGGCCATCTGGAGCTATGTTAGAGACGTAGCCCACCGGTCATTAAGGCCGGTCGCATCCACCCCTTTCTTTTAATCTCGTAAAGACCGTTGTAGTGACTAGGCGTATACAAGGCGAACCACTTCTTAATCTGATGTAATCTGATATCAAATTTGCCTTCCTTTTTAACCATATAATAGTTTTGATGGCCCCGAAACTGAAGCTACATGTCTAGGATTACAATACATACTGGCCAAATATTCTTTTCAGCCTAGAAAGGGCATGGTGAACATAGAAATGATCAGAAAATAAATAGTACAAGGCTTTTTATAAGAATACAATCATCACTCAGGGGCGTTTACACACGCGATTGCTATCAGCGTACACACAACTAGCTTTCTGACCTCCGACCTCTGACCTCATTTCGTGGAGTCGGCCAAAATGTCGAATGGGATCAAACCGATCAATAAATGTATTTAAAAACGTAGTCTTATTTAAACTACCATGTATAAAGTAGCTAGAATATCCCCTCGAACCTTATACAGTTGTTTGGTACTGATAAACAGCTGTTTGGTTAAGTCACATTTAAATTGGTGAGGTTGAACTAATAATAGTATGGGTTTTCCCGGGTTTGGCGCAACGCTTCGTTACACCCCGTTCTCACAAACCGTTTGCGAAGTATTTTTAGAGTGATGTCACCCAGACGGGGCGATCAGTATCCAATCAAAACAGTGGCTCAACCCAGTGGTGGCGCAGAATTGTCTTTTTCTTTTCACCACACATACACACATCGTTATGAAAAGGAAATTAAAGTTAATACTGAAGTTCAAATTCAGAATGCATATATGTTAATATATGTTGACGAGGAAGGTCGTTAATTCAATAATGTTCATGAATAACAATTTTATCAATCGAGAAAGTTTTCCTTTACTTTTCTCTGCACCTGTTATGGTGATGAGCATAAACTGTTCCAGGAGCTTTTGATGAGATTGAAATAACATTTACAAGTTATTGTGTGTTGTTTAAGTTGAGAATCGAATGACATATTAACAGCATATGTTTGCAATATTGGTAAGTTAGGATCTACTGTTTTCTATTTAAGGGTTTGCAAAATAGCATATGTGAGGGGTTGTGTAATGTATCCAGTAATAATTGCATATCTCATATTTACGAATATTTGACTACCTTTTCTTCAACACATGTTCTGACAATGAAGCCAATAAGCATTGATCACAGCAATATTAAGTCATTGAGGGTGTACCTTTTATCTGGACAAAACATACTTGAAATGAAATGAATATTGCTGT